TGGGGAATTCTGGGAGTTGAAGACCACTCATCTTAAAGTGGCCAAGTTTGGACAACACTGGTCTAATGGATTACAGCATGAGGCTATGGCCAAGCACAGTCTCAGTTTTGCAATTTTATCATTGCCACGTCAGGTCTTAGACCAAACGTGGCTTATGAAACTCGTAAGCATTCTGCGTTTCTATTTTGAGAAAGTCATCCCAGGCTCACCGAGCAGAAACCACGCAGGACGGGACTGGTGTTAGCTGCACAGACCATGCTGTTGTACACGTGTCCTTGCCAGGATTCGTTGCAAGCTTTCCTGTCCACAATGGTCGTGTTCGCTTCCATGAGTTTTGTGGGGATGGTCCCATAATTGGAGATGTCTCCCCAGCCAATAACTTGGCATAAGAGTCCAGGGTAAGGATCGGTTTTGGCTCGTGGCAACTTGATCTGCCGGACCTTCGAGTTCAAAATGGCTGACCTGTTCAACTGCAGGCAGAGAGGGACAAAGAATAGATGGGGTGCTAAGGCCGGTGTTGCATTTTCAGCCATGGTTCATCTACAAAGGGTGAGCAAAGGGCTCTGACCAGGAGTGTCCACAGGGAGAATATGAAAATATCAAGATGGGGACCACAACCGTGTGAATGAAGCCTGACCCCTTTTTTACATGTAGGGTGCCACATCTGGACTTTTTCGAACCCCATGATCAGGGGTGTCCTCAGGGTATGGTCAAAAGATCCAGGCCATGGAGGTCACCTTGAAGGTTCGCCCGTAATGGGCAGAGCTGCGATCTCAACATCGTGGGCTCCATCTTGACTTTTTTGACCACACCCTGTGGACACCCCTGCCCTCACACAAATGCCTCTGGCTCTCATTGGGGGAGGGCAGAATGGCTGGATTAGCCCACCCCCATCTTGGTACCATCAAAAGTGCGGGCCAAGATGATTGAAGGCAGCAGGTTGAGAAAGGCAGGGTTAGGACGCCATGTTATGCCAGAAGAAGAAAAGAGCAAACCACTCCTGTCTTACTGCCAAGAAAACAGTACGGACCTGTCTTTGTAGTCGCGATCATGCCAGCTGCTACCTCACCGAGTTGCTTTTGTAACACAAAACGATCCGAATGCAATCTTATGCATCGCTCCATGAAGATGCATTCTTTCCCCACAATGTTACATAAGCTTTATTTGCAGTTTTATGGCCATGCAAAGTGATCCAAAAGGTTTGGGAGGGGCAGAGAGAAATGTTGAGAGGGAGCATTTCAGAAGCTGTTCAAAACAACTGGATTTCATGCCACACCATCCAGATGTTTGCCATGTGATGCGTCCTGGTGCATAAAGTTATTAGCAGTTTCCATCCTGCTGGATCTTAGATATATAACACATTTTGCCTGCAATTATTTCTTCCTTTCAGAGGCCAGGGTTGCCCCCTAGTGTTTAGGCTGTAGGACCAAAATGACAGAAAATGGAGCTCTTGGGTCTATTAATTATTTGCAGTAATGTTAGTGTGCTGAGCAATGGTGTTGTGAGGGTCTGGGAATTAAGGGACAGAAAGTATATTTTGCGTTGATGAACAACTAGAGTTTCAGCCCCCAACTGTCTGAAAACTTAAGAATTTTTCCAATCAAGCTTAGAAGACAACAGCAAGAGGGAGGGAAGGAAGGGAGGGAGGGATGAAAGAAGGAAGGAAGAGCTGGTTTTAGGATCTTGCCCTAAGCATAAAAAGGATATTAAACTAAACATTTATTAGAAAACACATTCCTGGTGGTGGCGAATAAGGAAGCGCTACTCTTCCTCTGTCATTGTATACCCAGGCAGACCCCAGTTTCTCTCCCTACACTCACTTTGATTAAACGGATATCGTTTTGCACAGTGCTAGGATTGAAAAGCGGGTGAGCAACCGAGTTCTTGATCCCAAAGATTTGCTGTGAGGCCTCAGCAGCCACGAGCGAATGGGCACCGAGGATGACACGGAACAAGGCGGACTGCCTGCAGGGGCAAATTGGGAAGAATTAGAAGTGGCAATGTTGATCCTCATGACGTAAGACAACACCCATAACCCAAAGAAACCCACCCTCTCTTCAGGAAGAAACTTAGTTATGGGGAAATAAAGCAATAGATGCACACCCTGGTTTTAAAGTGGAGTTTGCCACTTCAGTGAGCTCACCATTTGTGCCTCAGTCATTGTGGTAAGTTGTGCAAACATTTAGGCCAAGCCATCATGTGATTCCCTTTTGGGATGAGCAACATTGTACAAGATGTGGAAAAGGATTTCAACCGTGTTTCTCAGCTTTGGCAACTTGAAGATGTGTGGACTTCATCTCCCAGAATTCCCCAGCCAGCTGTGCT